GTATTTTTTTTGATTAGCAATAAAATGGCATTGACATTATGAAAGGATAAGGAGCAGATCCTGAGGCATCAGACCAATCTATTTTAGGAGGCAACATTATTAGTATGTTATATTCTTATTTATTATTAAATGAATTAAGGAAGAACTTGGTAAAGGACTCTACATTTTATAGTAGCCCTTGATGTTGCTGCTAGTACTTTATAGGGCTATAAGGAATAGTGCTATAACACATATAAATCCTTGTTCTTCAATGTTAGTGCTTTTTTTTTTTTTGGCCACACCCTGAAGTTGTAATTATTGCCAAGCTTTTATTTAATAGTGCAAATTGTCTTAACATTGATATTGAAAAATGGGTTTTAATATAGGTATAGGTAATAAAAGGTAGGTTATAATTAGAGACTTTTTCTGTCCTTATTTAAAGGCTTTTCTTTAATAAGATAAAATGCAATGCTGCTGTTACTGTTATTATTCTGTTTCTCTACTTGCCTTCTCAGCCTCCCTACAGAATGTTTGGGAGGGTTCTGTGTTAAATGCCAAATCTTTTTTTGAGAGAGTTGTGATCCATGGCCACAAAAATAAGGAAGTTGATTTTTATTCTCCAGTTTTATTTAGCTCTTGCTGTGTTTTGAAATGTACTACATATGGTCAACAAGACAAGTTAATTTCTTCAGCACTCTAGGCAGTAAGACGAACTATGTTATTTTAAACATTGATTCTAAATTTTCTGACTTGTGTATCAATTTCATATCTTTAGCATCTGTTAACAGTTTGTTTAGGTTTTGTGGGGAGGGAAGGGGTGGTGGGTGGGTTCAGGGTTTAAACAGTGATGTGAAGACAAACTGGCTCTGAGATTATCATTGGGGATGTAATGTTCATTGGATGCTGCTATCATAATTATTTAATGTGCTGCTCTGGTGATCGAACTATTTTGCCATTTAATACTTTGCTTATAAAATGAGATACAGCTGTATTTAATACCAAGATCACATTTTAAATTTGCACTTTTAATGTTTGTATACCAACTTTCTTTGGGGGGAAATAAGATAGGCTGAATTTTTACAGCATGTTGGACATTCAGTAATGAAAATTGTCAGTTTTTGTATGTTGCTTTTGTAAGTTGTAAGGGGAAGGGAAATTAATATAAAGTCTATTATGTTCATAACTACATTAGTCTCCAAAAGTAATTTGTATGCATCTATTAAATATTTGTGCTATCTTTCAGATCTTTGAAATGCTACTGAAATGTGTCTGAAGAGTGCATTACTTATGGCTTGAATAATAAAGCTACATGGTCATCTTAGTACCAACTTAACGGCTCTAGATTTCACTGGTGGGAAAGATGAAGGGATCATCAGAGTATTGGGCTTAACAGGGATTGAACCTGAAGGAAAAGAACAAGAGAGAAAAATTGGGAAGGTTACTAGTCCTGTTCATACTTGTTTTTATCTCCACATGGATAGAACTGGATTGCCATGGTCACTCAGCTGTGCCATAGAAATGGTCCAAGATTTGAAGAAGAATGGGGATGTCCTGGGTATGAAAGTAAAGGTACTTTGAAGGTGGTGTAAGGTAGAACTTTAAGGAAAGGATAAGTAGATTGCCTAGTGTAAACATGAAGTATAAACATAGTATGTTTAGAATTGCTTTCCATTTGAACCATTTCAGTCTCATATGAGACACATGATTGTCATTTCAAGATTTCTGAAATCCTAGAAAGAACTTGCAGCTAGAATTCATACTCCCAAACCCTAGAGCTGAAAGGTAACTTTAGGGGTCACTTAGTCCATCCCCTCACTTCATGAATGAAGAAATGAAGGTTCAGGTTAAGTGGCTTATTCCTTAGGTCTAGGATTATTAGCCCAGACACTTATTCAGAATTGGTTTAATCTTTGTCAGACGCTAACCTGACTGTTGGTCTCTTTAGAAGCAAAATGCTTCTACCCTAAATTCTGAGCCACTGAGAACTATTTCTTGTAGGAGAGATCCATTTCCCTTGTTGGGAAGTACAAGGTATGATCAGACTATTTTAGAGTCTCCACAAAAACATTGTTAGCTAATACTCCAAATGAAGTGTTCAGTTTGGTTTGTTTGAATTTGGCACTGGTTTTTAAACAGTGTTCCACAAATCTCTGATTTCAAAGAGACTCCTTCAGGCATTCCTTGAACACAGAGGTACTTGTAGGAGAAATACTTCATTCAACTCCATTTACAAATGCTGACTGAACAAGGGAGAGTAGAAAAAACAATCCAAAAGTTTGATTGGATGATTACTGGTTTTACTCGTATATTTTAATGATGAAGGTCATAGAATGTGTGATGTTATATGTCAAGTGCTTAAGTTGATTATCTTAGTCTATAAGTGATTGTACATAATTTGTGGGGAAGGAAAGACCCATGGTCATATATGGTCATATAAATTACTTTGAGGAAAAAATTAAGTATATAATGGATAATTTTCATTTGCATAAATTTATTAAACAGGACTGTCAAACAGTTCTGGCACAATAATTTAGGAAACTGGCAACCTTCTTAGCTCTCAGATGTTTATAGATTTTTTTTAATGTTTAGAAAAAATTTATTGGAAATCATGATTTTTTGTTTTTGATCTTGGCTATCATAAAATATATTGCTCCCATTTGAAACGCTAGAAAAATGATTTGTTAAGATGAAGAGTAAGTTCAAATGAAATTTTTTCCTTTTGAATAGAGTGAAACCAAGATGACGAAAATAGCCTTACAGGAATAACAATGTCCCAGCATTTTCTTGAAAATAAGACAATAATCTCGAGCAGTATATTTAACTAAATTAGATCATTTAAAAGATAGGCTTGCCATTGTGAACATCTTCAGTATTAATAGAGTGTAGTTTTTGCTGCAATACACATTATCTTATATTCTCAAAGGCTTTTTTTTAAGCATCTAGTCACAACATCATTTTTTCACATATATGGAATTATGAGATTTCTCCTTTTAAATTTGCAGGTGTAATGCCAGTTTTATGGCTTTTAGTAGAAGTACATAGAAGCAAAGCATAAGCAGTGTTGCCATTGGGGAAAAATGCTAAATATCTTAAAGATAATATCTCTAACAGTTCTGTCAGAAATGTTAGCATTAAACTAAAGGTTGGGTGCAGTGAGTACCTTATGATGGGTAGGAAGTGTCCTGCGACTACTTCTGTCACTTAGAGATGGTTGAGAAAAACAGTTAGCTTTAAACAACCTGTAATCTTTGTTGTAAATTACTTTGGGGAAAAATTAAAAGAGAAATTAAATTAAGATTTACCTTTTCGTTAAACATTGTCTTTTTAGGTGAGCCTAACTTTTCAGACTAACTGTAAAGCCCCAGTAGTGTGAGAATGGCTTCTGCTATTAGACCTCAAAGACCCTACCCCAGAAAGTTGCTTTAATTCTTATCTGTTACTGCCAGTTCTTAAATGGCTTCTGTAACATTTAGGCCCAGGAATGGAGAGAAGAAGCCTTTAACTCAACTGAGACACAGTAGGGATGAAAAAGCCCTACTAGGTAATTAGGAGAGAAGAAAACAAAGCAATAAAGAAACTTGAGGTTTTTAGGTTTTCATGGAGGCTTTCATCTAACCCTACCTGAAATCTTATCTTGACCCAGTCTGGAAAATGCTGCTTTTGGCCCAATGATCTTTCAAAATATGTGTTCTGGAACATATGTTCTAACCAGAGTTAAGGTTCAGCTTTCCCTTGGTGAAAAGCCGCTTCACCTTTATCAAGTAGCTAAGCCTACCCAGCTTAATGAAGTACACCATTTTAAGCCATGAACCAGCCTACCTCTTACCTAGATTTGACTGATTTTTCATGTTTCAGCATATATTTGGTCTGTCTTCTACATTTCCTGGACCTAGGGCTAAGAGTGACTTAGCCATATCTATTAATAGTTATCATGAAAAAAAAATGCTTCTTCAGTGAGACTTTCTCCTCAATACCCCCAACAAGCCATGAAATGCTTTCTTTTAGCTTCACACTTAAGTTGGCCAACAAAACCTCCTTTGGAGGGACAAGGTAAATTAGAGGTTGTGTTGAGAAAACTAATTCTTAGTGCTTTGCAGTCAACGTAGGTTATTTTATCAGATTAGCTAGCAGTTATCTTTTGTACATTTACAAAGGCCTTTCTTCCTTTCTTTATCCTCTAAGGCTCAGTTCCAGCCTTCTGTAATTTCTCCTACTCCCAGTCATACTGGCCTTCTCTTTGACCTCTCCTTGCACACATTAATTTATCATTTAATTGTGTTCTTTTTATCTTTATTCCTCCATCTAGCTGTGAGCTCCTTTTGGAATTCGGTTAAACATCCTTTAAACTTCCAAATGTGCAAAGAAACTATTAGGTGCTGATCTAGAAGTTTGGCACATAGGTGTTCCAGTAGATAGTTGATACCTAGAGTCTAATTAATTTTGTCCCTCCTTTATCATTTTGGGTGAGTACCTTCATAGTAGTAGAGCAAAACCCAGATACTTGCATAATTCTCATTCCTGTTCTCTATTCTTGTTTTAGATGGAAAATTATGCAATTTGAAAAGGCTTCTCCAACCTCATAATTTACCTTCCATGTGTAGATTTGCTGGATTTACTTTTGTTTCTGAGCCATAATATTACCTAATGCAGTGGTTTTAAAATTACTTGATTAAGTCCCAATGTCTCAAGGTTATCTCTAGCTGTCCTTGAAATGTTGTAGTACATATGAAACATTTTTAATTTCTATCCATTTCATTCCCTTCTAATCCTCCCCTCCACTCATTTCCCCTCAGATTGTACATTGGATTTGTGTTCTTGAGTGTAGCTGCTACTGAAATTTCATATTCAGTGTAGTGGTCAGTGTTTATGAGAATTGTCATATATTTACAAAATATTTACAAATCATGATAGGCAGTTGTACCCTTACTTGGGATACTTTTTCGTATGATCTGCAGTTGGGATTTAGAGCCCTTCAATCCAGTTTGACATTTAGGATTTTAATGAAGTAAAAATTTAGAGAATGAGCCTTAAGTAATATTTATTGAGGGTTCACATGAGGTCATCATCACCATTTCTCAAATTAATTGTAGAAGCATAGAAATAAATGTTACCTTATATTTGCTAGTATACTTTAAATCTGTATAATGCAAAATTCATTTGTGGTCCAGCGGATTAAAACATGTTTATACTGTAATATCCTTGTCAGTTTGGGCATTATCCCATATTGGCGTTGTCAGATTTCCTAAGAAATGTCTACTAAACCACGGATAACATCAGAAAATGGATCTGGGACCAATGAACTTAAGAGTTTTAATTGAATTAGACGTATTTTTTTATCTCATCATACAACACTAATACAAAAGCACCGCCCATGCCTCTCAATACATTGGACCAGGCACCTTTGAAGAAAGCTTTGGATCCTTCATCTTTTGCAATCTTCCTCCAGCAGTCAATTGTTCCAGTATACATAATATCAGCTGTGGAGACAAAAATTGATAAGTTAGTTATAATCTTGATAAAGGCCTATTTTCTAAAAAGTCTTGTGAGTCCTGGATTTCTTCCATGAAGTTCAGGTCGCTGGAACTGTATGCCCCAGCTCTGTGTAATACCCAGTTGCCCAAATCTTCCTTAGCTTGCTAGGCAAGGATTTTTTCTTATCTTATGCTTTTCTGTGGCTGCCCATGGAATTGAGAAGTAGATATTTATGCAGATAATTCCATAAAAATGACAAGCTTTAAACAGAAAGGGACCTTTTTTTTTTTATAGATACAGGCTAATCTCAAACCAAATCTCAGAGGTGATTTGCCATACTGCCTCAGACTAAAGATACAGTTGCACTTGATGGCCAAATAATTGAAGTAAAATGTTATCATTTAATTGAATAATCAACTCAATGCTCTACCCAGCTTTGTCCTTGTACAGGTTCTAGAAGTGGTAGCCCCCAAAACTGTACTGATGGAGATCTTTTGTTGAGTTCCCCCATGTTCCCACAATCACTACCCACTCTAAAATATTTTTTTTCCCTCTTCAGGATAAGATACCTTTGATTTCTTCCTGAGAACAAAATGAGGGAAAAGTTAATAGAGAGAGGGGCTAGTTTTTAATCCATAACCTCACCCTCTCCCCTCCTCCTCCTTGCCATTTTAGGTTGTAAAGAGGACTATGAATCCCAGAGGGTCACTATCTGGTGCTGGGGGCTAGACAAGCCAGCCATACCAGATTACTGAAATTGCCATCCCCTTGCATGCAGTGAGATGAAGAAAAGCCATACCCCCTTTCCGACCAGACTGCATCATCATCCTCCGACGGACAGTATCGAAGGGATAGGACACCAATCCTGCCACTGCAGTGACAGTCTGGGCAATCATCCAGCTTACTACAATGTGCACGTGCTTGGGGTCAGGCAACATTCCTGTAGATTAATGCCAAAAGTGCCGAACACATAAATTTGTTTACTCATCACTTTGGTAGAAAAGGAGGGAAAAAAACCAGCCTCTCCCCACTCCCTGCTTTATGCCCTCTTCTTCCCATTTAGCTTATTACATTCTTTATATAAGTATCAAGCAGTCACCTGGGAAGTGGAAATTTTCTAACAGGGAAGCTCACAGTTCTGGTTCTGTACCTGACTTGCATAGGGCCTTGTAGAACAGATTAAGCAGTAGTGTTTATTCCTGGGAAAGGATTAGTTACTCTGATAGTGCCTGAAAAAACTGTTAATCTTCCTCTTGGAATAATGAGGCCACCAGTCAAAGAGGAGAGAATTGTACTCCTCTAAATGTACCCGCCTGCCCAACCAGAAGCATCAGGATAAGTGTCCCTCAAACCTCATTCCATCCCCATTAACCTCTCACCCTTGGCTGTATCATAGATCCCAAAGTAGGCCGCCCTGTAGATGATGATGCCCTGGACAGACACATTGAAGCCTTGGTAGAGGCCCCTCAGGCCATCAGACTTGAAGATCTTGGTAAGACAGTCGCCTAGGCCACCGAACTCCCGTTGGGCGGCACCTTTGCCCACATCAGCAGCCAGCCTGGTCCGAGCAAAGTCCAGTGGGTAGACGAAGCAGAGGGAAGTGGCCCCAGCTGCTCCACCAGAAGCAAGGTTGCCAGCAAAGTAACGCCAGAACTGTTTATGCCGATCCACACCCCCCAAGAAGATCTGCTTGTATTTGTCCTTGAAGGCAAAATTAAGGGCTTGGGTGGGGAAGTAACGAATGACATTGGCCAGGTTACCCCTCCAGAAGGAGAGGAAGCCTTGCTCCTTGGGGATTCTCACCACGCAGTCAATTATGCCTTTGTACTGCTGCTCTGCTTTAATTTGTTTGCTGGCATGTTGGACCTAGAGCATGGAAAGAGGTGGAAGAGACAGGAGAAGGGAAAGGAAAGTATTGGAGAAAGAAAATTGACTTGTGACTTATGGGTTTCCCAGCTCAGGCCTTATAGGCCAGACCCGATGCTTTCCTCCTTGCTCTCCCCTTGGAACTTAACCCTCCTGCTTGTGCATCTTGATGGGATCCAGCATCCCAGGTTTTTAAGCAATAGTGGGGATGCTGCCTAGATCACACTAGATGTGGATGGGAATTGCAACAAGATCAAATCATAAAAAATTGGGGCTGAAAAAAAAATCTTAAGAGATCTAGCCAACTACCACATTTTTACAGATGTGGAAACAGCCCAAGTAATTTGTCCAAGATCAGCGAGTGAATAGCAGAATTTGGTCTCCTGATTCTCAATACCACATTCTTTTCACTGCCCTAGAGTTGCCCCAGCTGGTGTGCTCCATCCACCAGCATGGCTTTGCCTTTAAGGCAGGCTAAAGAAGGGATGCAGAGGTGGTAGGAACAGAGAGTGGGAGTGACTTGACTTGGTCAGGCAAAGGGGGGATTGGCTGAGGGCAACTAAGCTGTCACCACATTTTCCTGGTTCTGTGCACAGCCCCACTTGGGAAAGTAGAGTCCTGCTCAATGTAACTCGATCTTCAGGAGGCTTTCCATATTTAGGTACTTAAATGCAGGAGCCACCTGACACCAGCAATGTCATCCACACCTCCCCGGCTTTGCGGAGACAGCACCATCTTTTCCCCTAGGCTAGGCTCTCAAAGGACATTCACCCCTGTATTTGTGCCCCCCACCCACTTTTCCCTGGGTTGCGGCCTTTGGTCCAAGTCCTGTCCCACCTTCACCCCTGGCCAAGGACAAAGCACCTGTCTTCAAAGCTACTTAGGTGGCTATGTTTCCCTGGGCCAGGACCCTTTTTTCCTGCTAAACACATGCATACACCTTTCAGGCTCCGATCCTCACCTGCAGAAGCAGTTTGACCCTCTCGATGGGAGCGACTGCAGTCTTGGAAACCGCAGCGGCGATGCCACCTGCCAGAAAGTCTTTCAGGAAGCTCAGCGCTTGGTCACTCATGATGGAAGTAGTCGTCGCACCCACAGTCTCTCGGGAACTACTCCCTAACCTTCCCCCCCAGCTAGAAGCCCTGACCCCCTTCTCTGTCCCACCACCACGATCCAAAAGGGGCAGAGCACTTCTCCCCCAGACCTCCTTATATGACCCTCTGTCTCGCGAGAGAAGGAGGAGGGCCCTCGGGCCATTTGGCTCCGTGCGTATTGGCTGGACAGGTGTCTGGATACCCTCTCCATCCCATTCCTCAGTAGAGGGCACGGGGGGCGAGGCGCTTCCGGGAGGCCTGAGCTGGTCGGGGGACTGCTGCTCCCTTTAGGGACATTTAAAGGGCAAATTAATATTATCTAGCTTGGGCTGTAGAGGGAACATTATGTCACAACAGAGCATGTGGCCTGCTGTATTTATAGCATACTGGAGCCGGCCTCCAGTACCGACTGACTTGGGGGGGGGACAGACGCGGAAAACGATTCCTCAAGGACTTTAACCTTGGGCTTGCACCGCCTCCCTCGCTAGAGAGGGCTGCGGGGAAGGGGTCTGAAGCTACTGCCCCCCCCCCAGCCCCAACACACAAACCCCAGCCTTCACGGAGCGCGAGAGGGCGCGCTCCCTTGGCTCTCTCCGGCCAACATCCCCTGACAGCAGCCACTCCTCTATCAATCCTTGGTACCAAGGAGAAATCGTAGCCTTCAGAGTTGGAGGGGACATGTGTTACAGCTCGTGTGCATTTGCTGGTGGTGTGTATTACGTGCGTTTCCCGGTTCCTCATGTAGGTGTCGGTTCTGTCCTCTCTCATTTTACGTATCATCTACTTCAAGTCAGAGATTTACTTCGCATTTCCTGTGAACCCCCTGGTAGCACTTAGTATGTGACTGTTCACCAAAGACATTTAATAAGTACGATAGACTGCTGTTAATCAGCCTGATTCAGGACGTCTACGATTACTTTTCCAAAACTAAAGTATTCTTATCATAATAACTGGGTTACTGAGGCAAATTATATGTAAGATTATTATGATTAAGTATGATTATTGCCAAGGATTATGAGCCCGGATGTGCAGGGACATCAGAGGCTATCCAGTCTGAACCCCTCGTTTTACAGCTGAGGAAACTGCATGATCGTGGGGTCCTTTGGTTCTAATCAAAACTCTTTCCCCTGTACTACTTACTTCAGAGGCTCTTCTGACCTTTTAAAAATGCTTTTCTGTAGTATCTTTGCGTTGTTACAAAAAGACATTGTGGTGGAGAGGACAGAGCTCTGGAATTGGAAGCAGGAGACCTGAGTACGAGGCAACCTCAGTAGAATGTATTCGTTGTAGCAGCTGGAAGAAGTGAGTATCTAATGGCCAGTGTTATGTGATGACGCTGTCCACGTTTAGCGGGGCTGCTCCTCTGAGGAAGATCACAGAGCCCAGCACACGCAGTGCTGGAAGGAGCCCTTTCCCTTTTGGTAGGACATTGCCAGGACTCACTCTCTCTGACAGCCATTAGGCTTCAGGGGAGGACTTTAGGAACCGGGATAACAAGTTATTTAAATAATAATGACAAATACTGGCACTCTTGCTAACTCTAGCAGAAAGAGCCATGGACTTGGAGCTACAATATCTGACTCTGGCAAATACCAGATATGTGATTTTAGGTCAGTCACAACCTCTTGAGCCTTAGCTTCCTTTTTGGTAAAATAGGGATGATAATGCTTGCTTGCTACTTCTGTAACAAGGTTATAAAGAAGGATGCTATGTAAACCGCATTTTATTACATTTATAAATATAATGTATATACATCATTATACATTATACATCAGATGTATAATGTATATTTACATTTATGTAAATTTACATTAAATGTATAAAATAAATATATTCACAAACATATTTATAAATAATTACATTTGTGCAAATAAAACATAATTTATCTATACATGCACATATAATACATATGTGTATACATATATGTATATAATATGTATATGTATACATAGCATATACAGATACAATAATACATGTATGTATATGTGTGTATGTATATATCTTATATATACATACACACACACACACACACACACATATATATATATATATATATATATATAATTTGCTTTTTCACCCAGTATTTCATAGAAACATTCCCACATGTTTATAAATATAGTTCATATAATTGTCATTTCTGGGGAGCTCTGCTGTATGGGAGCTAGGGACCTCCATTAACTACATTTGGGGAAACTTGGAAATGAGCTCTGCTTAAAGTATATTTGGAGATTTTCCTGAAGTAAAGTCTAGGTGAGAGCAACAAGCCAAAGGAAGAAGATGACTCTCTTGGTCCATTCTCTAGAATTAATGCAACCCATAACCCAGTTCCCCTTCAACTTTGGGCTGATACAGACCAAGCTGCATCCTGGGGAATCTGACCAAGCAGGTTGTTTCTCTTTGGCTTGGTGCCTCCACCTAGAGGTTATTCCAGGAAAATCTCCAAATATAGATCAGGTATAATTCATATCTAGGTTCCCACAAATGTAGAGAACATGGGTCCCCAGATCCCACAGAAAAACTCAAAATAATAAATGTATGACAGGTAGAGGATAGCCTTTATTCCATTCCACAAAAAATGCAGAACATGAAAAAGACCCACAGAGGCCCATAAAGAGTTAGAGAAAACATAAGGTACATGGAAGAAAGAAACAAGTATTCATTAAATACCTATTATGCGTCAAGCACTATGCTGAACACTTTACAAGTATTATCTCCTTTAATTCTTTTTCCTTTTTCCTTTTTGGTGAGGCAATCAAGGTTAAGTGACTCGCCCAGGATCACATAGCTAGTAAAGGTCAAGTGTCTGAGGCTGGATTTGAACTCAGGTCCTCCTGACTCCAAGGTTGGAGCTCTATCCACTGTGCCACCTAGCTGCCCCCCCCTTTTAGTTCTTACAACAACCCTGGAAGGTAGGTGCTATTATCACCATTTCATAGATGAGGAAACTGAGGCAGAGGTTAAGCAACTGACCCAAGGTCACACAGATAGTAAATGACTGAAGCTATATTTGAACTCAAGCATTCTTGATGCCATGTCCAGTGGCTCTATCCACAGCTGCCTCTAAATCCAAAATATATATTTAAAATACCGTAATTCCCTTCAGAAGAAACACAACTTGGCATTGGCACTTGGGCAATCCTTTGACATTATACTGAGTCCCATTTTCCCACACTCCCCACCTGCTAAGACTTGCAGTGCCTCTGGAAATTGGGACTCTTCCTTCTTCTACCCTACCTCCAACCTGCCTAGGGAAAACACATAATGGAAGTGCTACATAGGCAATCAACTTGACTTGCAGTCTACACTGTCCAAATAACTAACTGTATTCATTGGCTGGGGGCCAATGAGAGAAGTGGGTGGAATGGTGACTAATAGCCAAATCCCTTGCCTCTCCTACTCATGCTTCTTTTTCTGCTCCCTCTACCCCTTTGGAGGCCTTTGCTGAGAGTCTGCCCTCTGCTTCCACAGGGACTGGGTAAGAATTCTCCTTCACCTTCCTCCAGGTTCTCAGGATTGTTACCAAGCCAGGGAAGGGACTGACTTTCTTCACAAAGTCACAATCTCCATAGTTATGTAGAGACAATTTCACTTCCGCCATGTCAAAGAGAGCATCTCCCAACAACTTCACAACAGGTTTCCCCAAGTTCTTTCTCAAACAAACCAAGGAATTCTTTGAACCACCTTGAGGAATAGAAGATCTACCCATAGAGGGGAATCTGGGCCACTTTCCCAGGGTATATGGAGCCCTCTGAAGTAGGCAGGGACTTTGAGGCCCAAGCAATTCTGAGGAAGGAATGAGAACGAGGGAGTGTAGAAGAGTCAACTAGGACTTCATCTAAAGGGGGTCTGTCCTTATCAGTTAGATATTCTTGGAAGCTTGATCCAAGAAACCACTGAACAGGAAGACCTTCCCTCTTCCTAGGGTGGCATTGATTTGTTATCCACATGACTTCTGGGAGGTAGGACACAACCCGTACACAGTCAGGGGCATGATGACTAATCTGTCATTTCAAGAGCCCATTTCAGTGATCAACAGTGCCAGCTGCCTAAGGGCAGCCAGTAAAGAGAGGTGCTCTACCTTGTGGTGACTCTGCCCTTCCCTAAAGATTGGGAGCAGGGGAGAAGAATGAATGGCTAGTGAGATTTTGACAGCCATTGCCCACCAGGTGTATGGGAAATCTGTTTTTAAATGCCATTTGGGCATGGCATATGTTGTTTTATTCTTATCATTCTCTTTAACTTAATTTTTAACTTTTCTTTGACTCACTAATTATTTAGGTCCTTCGTGAGTCTCCCCTATGGATCTATTTTTCCTTCAAATGAGATATTTGTAAAGCACTTAGTACAGTGCCTAGCACATTGTAGGTGCTCTATAAATTCTAGCTATCATCATCATCATCATCATCGCATCAAACCCCATCTGATGGCAGTGGGCCCAATCTTGGACCTGTGCTTCTCAATAATGTGGATGTCCTAAGCAGAGGCAATGGTATAAGGATTCTCACAAGGAAGAATGGAATGTTCTGAGAGCTTTGATGATGACTCCGGTAGTGGTAGATTTGACTGGCCTAGCAGTGCTGTGTCCTGAATTTATGTCAACTGAAGTAAGGGCAAACCACCAATCCTGAGATGGGGAGAAGGGTCAATGAATCAGTTTGTAAGTCTGAGGCATGTCAGGAACCATAAGGGACCAGGAGCTAGTGTCAACAACTGGAGTCAGGTTAAGTTTAATCACTTTGAGTGGCCCATCTGGATTCAAATCTGACCTCGGACTTAACAGTTGGGTGGCGCTGGACAAGTCACTCTGAATCTCAGTTTCCTCATTTGTAAAACAAGGGGGTTGGACTCAATGGCTTTTAAGGTCCCTTCCAGCTCTGAATCTATGATCCTATGATAGTGAAAATAATGAGCAGACTGGCCTTCAAATCCCCAAAGCACTTATTAGTGAGTCAAAAGGATATACATGTGTGCGTATATGCATCTATGTATTATGATAATAGCTAGAATTTGTATAATACTTCAAGGTTTGCAAAGCACTACACATGTATGCATACATATTGTACATATAGATGGATGGATAGATAGATGAATATATGGATAGATAGATTGATAGGCAGATGTACAGACTGATGGATAATAGAGATAGATAGATAGACAGATTTCATTCACATGCTGATATAGGTCATATGACACTATAAAGCTATCAATGCATCTAGAATGGGGCACTGTAAAACTGGATGCTCTTGTATCTAGTCCAATGGTTTCTTAAGTGG